TGTATGGATATATATTGTTTTGAAATTGCTCTGATAACAATAAAGTTCAATTTACATTTTAAAAGAGTTTTACCGCCAAAATGGCAGCCATCTTGGAATTTTTTGTGATGACGTCATTATTCCGACTAAATTTTTTAACGAGAGTGAGGAGTAACTATTTAGCCAAGTCCTTGTTACATTTGATATACATAGCATGTAAAAGTGACTAGAAACATACATTTATTTCCCTTACCCCCATCTTAATTAGCCCAAAATAGGATATTTTATGTAAAAAATTTTAAAGTGCTATAAAAAAAATTTCCCAAGCTCTAAGAATGGGGATTTTTTTTCTTAGACGCTATATGATATACTGATTCAGAAAAACCAAAAATAAATTTTCCTTTACTTTTTTCCCGGTAATTTCCAACTGCACCCAGGCTAAAATTACTCCTTGTCTGAAAATAATACTTTCAATTGTACGTATAGTAAAAAATATTTTCACTGCAATGATTAAACAAAACGGTTATTTCATTTTAACACATCAATCATTTTATTTATTTTGTAGAGAAAGCAATATTGTCAATTGCAAATACAAATAGTGGTAAATGAAATCAAAAATTTCTTAATGTCCCTTACAATTCAATTTCTCCAGCTCCTTGGAAAGTAAGAATATTCCATCATTTTGATCGCATTGGGAATATCACATATTTAACGTTTTTACAGATTATGAATATCCTCAAATTGATAGGGTCCATGCAAGAGTCTATCAATAAGAATCGTCAATAGTTTCACCATGAATCATAGTAACAGAAGTATGAATGCCTTTTTCCCTCATACTTTTCACAAAGGTTATTAAGAAAGTATTCAATCGCCTCCTTTTTTTCACATCTAGTTGCATCCTCGCATTTCAGAATTCTGCAAACTGGCCCTGAGAAAAAAAAAAGACAGGTCTAAAAATAATAGCATTTAAGATTTACTCACTTAGATTTAACAAATAAAAAAAAAGACATGCAACACAAATAAATTTTTGAAAATTAGTGTTTTCATTGACTTGGTTTTTTGTGCAAATTTACTTTAGGTCTGAACTATTGATATACTAGGTGATATGTCTCCTAACAAACTTTGGGATTACGCACAATCATCACAGCACAATTACGACAAATTATTACATTTATTATGCATTAGAAGTGTGAAGTGAATGTGAATAAGAAGATCTAATTTTAATTACGATAAAGTATTTTTACCGGGCTTCAGCGTTCGATTTACCCAGTATCGCATCGCAAAATCTGACATGTTTTACGCTAATTGCAAAGCACTTTCACAATTGCATCACAGATAAATGCAACGCAATTATTTGCCTAGAATTAACCACTCAGTCTTCAGCAAGGCCTGGCTGTAAAAACTAAGAGGCTTGGTGCACAAAAAATTTCAAAGAGGTTAAATTACAGCATTACAACTAATGTAAAACAAGAAACTTTTGTGACATGAAACTTTCGCGAATTGATAAGGGCGCATATGAAAAAATTGTTAGATTATAACTCCTACGCACATTAACTATTTGGAAATATTGATCGCGGTTATAAAAAAAACCCACCCTCATCACATTTTTTTTTTAAAGGAGTATTATTCTAATAATTCTTTCTATGTGCCCTAACACCAGAATTTATTCATGAGATGAACACCATACTATAGATCATCTATGATGACAATATTGTATCATGAGTTCTAGGCTAGAAAAGCCCAGGCATAAACCTGCCTACAGTATCTGCTAGGGTTTAGCTGGCCAGACACAGCTAATAATTACATGATAATTACAATCCTCATTAACATACGATATTAATAAATTCTGTAAATTCGAGACTTCCTTTATACCTTGTTTTGCGTACTTATTCTTCTAAAGATCATCGGAGGAGGGCAGAATAAAAATAAAAATAAAATTTAATTTTTTTATTCAGCAAACAGTCTGCCTGAAACATCCAGACGGAGGAGAAAATAAATATACAATTTTATTGGTGAATGTAAAGTAGGATGGTTAAATATTAAAAATTTATATAAATATGTATATCTTTGGAGATTTCAAGGCAGTGGAGGGCATAATTAAAATTTTAAAGAACTAATTTTTTATTGCAATTTCCTTTTTTTTTTGTGGTGGTTGGTGCGCTAATTGCTCAAAAATAAAATTTTATTTTTATTTTAAAAATATCAATATTTTGCAGTAGGCAGGTTCGATAAACAAGGTATAAAAAAGTCTCGCCCGAACATTTGGTTTTTAGAATTGATTAACTTACCGATTTTGACAGTCTTGAGCTTTTGAAACTTCTTAGTACTTTTTGATCAAGTTCAGATGAAGTCAGGAAACAAAATTGTTCAGGATAAATTTAAATGTTGTTAAACAAGTTTCAAGGCTTGAAAATACTGTAAAATATAATATAAATATGTTAAGTGAATTACCATGTAAATAAAACAAACGATTATATAATAGCACCAAATTCCATCACATGAAGTAGTTGATGTATTTTGAAATTTTTGTTCTGTGATAAGTTTAAATGAGGTGTTTTGTGCAAGTTTAAATAATGTAGTCTGATAAGGTGACTCTCAGGCTGCACATCACAAATTCAGCACACTACTGTACAGGTACACAAACAGTTATTCAACCTGTGTTAATTACTTAGTTAAATATATTAATGAAAGTAGGTTTATCAAATCCAATTAAAATAAAAGAAAATAAAGTAAAATCTAATCTAATCCTTACCATTGACCAACATGTGACAAGTGATGAAATGGAATCCCAATCACATTATATGTCTGATTATATGTCTGTATATTACTATTCGCTTTAATAAAGTATTCACTTATTATTATTGTTTTCACAACAAAACTCACCAATTGTTTGCACAAGACCATCTTCAAGTACCGATCAAAATTATTATAATGCCTCCATAGAAAGTACTGGTATGTTGGCAGGTAGCACATACTGCAGCTCAGGACTGGTGATCTGATAATGGATATTGAATTTTAAGTTTTCGTGTCCATCTTCGCCAATACTTACACTGTAGCTCCATTAATAACGGACTATGGATGCCATGTTTTTTTTTAATTTTTTTTTTTACTTCTGACAAAAACACAACATAAAGAAGAAATAAAGAAAATGTTTAACTTTACAATTAAGATCGACAATATACAGTAGGCTGCACAAAGATGTAGGCCTATACTTATATTAAATAAGGAAGTGGATATATTTACGTCGTCGTAATCAAATCAGTAAACGATATATTTACGTAAATAAAAATTCGCATGCGCAGTCATACTTTAACAACTAGCATTTTCAGCACTCGATATTAGCGTGGCCTCCCAAGCCGCGGTGATTCCCCCAAGTTCAGCATGGATGGCACTAATTAATTTATAATTTTGTTTTTTATTTTTTTATTAAACGTAATTTAATTTTCCACAATAGCACAGTATGTACAGTAGTTTAATCACTAAATAAATTATTAAATCAAGTGTTAAATCTTCAAATAAAAGTGATACTGTATTATGAGCTGGAAATGTTATGTTCATTTTACTCAATCATTTGTTGAGTTCTGTATCTATACTTCGTAGACAAATGCACATCATGCCAATGTTGCTTTGTTAGTGAACAGACTACTTGGAAAAATATGTTTGAATAAAACATTAAAAATATTTGTTTTGTCTTACCAGGGACAAGTATTTTATGTATGTTTTACATCTCCCTGGTTTCACTTTTTTCGTAGTGATTCAATATCTTACAGAAAATACACGATTATTCGTTGTTTACTTCTTGCTTCACATAGCGTACAGTACTTTGTAGAG